GGGGGGGGGGGGGGGGGGGGGGGGGGGGGGGGGGGGGGGGGGGGGGGGGGGGTAGGGCAGGGCAGGGCAGGGCAGGGCAGCACAGCAATCGACAAGGCAAGCGATCAGTCAAGAGATGGCGGAGCGACCGGCTACTGGAGTGTGCCATGACGCCAATACTTGGTGCAGCAGGACGCCGCATGGCGTGTCTTGTGAAAAATGCACAAAACAAAAACCAGTCACCGCTGGCGTGCGGGTGCAAATAACGTGTAACTACGACATCCACAGAAAAAAAAGGCAACACTGAGAGCCACCCGATTGAGTGTAACAGGTGCGTTCTGTATGTTCCTCGACAAAGCGGCGCCGAGATCGGCCAACTGCCACCAATCAGAACCAAGAAAAGCTCTACCTCGGGCGCCGGGCTACAGCGAACCGTACCAGCATTTCGTCGGGGAATGCACGAACGTTCCGAGACATCGATGACACTGGCCTACTTTGGCATGTTCAACAGAGCGAAGACATGAGATAACCATTGAGAAATATCGGTTGCTGGTCGACGGAGGATGAGGTCAGGCTTCAAACGCATAAGTCCGACCCGCTTCGTGCGTGAAGCGGCAGGTCAAAGTCAACCAGCCCACCAGTGTCAGGAGCGACAGCGGTCACGTATGGGGTACGCATGCATGCATACAACGCAATGCATGCATGCAATGTAGCGCGCGCCCAGCAAGCAACACTCACGAGGGCCTCCCCCAGGTTGCGGCAGCCGCAGACGAAGGGCACTTGGAACTTGCGCTTGTTGATGTGGTTGTCCTCGTCGGCCATGGTCAGCACCTCCGACTCGTCGATGTAGTCCACCTCGATCGACTCCAGGATCTGGGCCTCCACGAAGTGACCGATGCGTGCCTGTTTTCGTTGTTGTTGTTGTTGTTGGTGGTGGTGGTGTTCATGTTGTTGTCATGTTTTCAGGTTTTGGTGCTTGAATTGTTTCGTGTTTTACCTCGGGGTGGTGATGAACAAGGGCAACAGATGGGGGGTTGGAAAGTCCAGGCATGCTTCCGGTACCGATGGAGGTGTACGCCGCAACGTTTCGCTTGCTGGCGAGTAGTCAAGACAGAGGTTGTAGCCGTGGATTCAAGTCGTGTTTTCGAGAGAGCCGACTCGTGCCTGTCTCACAGGGCGACGACAAGACACGTCTTCTCCTTGGGTCCACCGCCGACGCCGGGGATGATACAAGAAGGGGACACACGTGCGCAGCACAAGGCTTGTCATGGGAACACGGCACTTCAAAAGACGTGCGCAGCACAAGGCTTGTCATGGGAACACGGCACTTCAAAAGACGACAAGACGGGAACGTCCAGCGTTGTTGTGCATCGTTGAAAACCATCTCGAGAACGTTTGCTCTGCCCTCCCCCCCCCCGTTACCTTAGCCATGACGGGGATCGAGACGGCGGCCTTGATCTCTCGGATCATCTTGGGGTCCGACATGCGGGCGACTCCTCCGTCCACCCGGATGTCGGCAGGGATGCGCTCGAGGGCCATCACCGCAACGGCACCGGCCTCCTCGGCAATGCGCGCTTGCTCCACGTTCACAACATCTTTTCCGACAAGGTTCAAAGCAGTAGGCGACATGCACCCGGACAACACCCGAACAACAGCACCGAAGTTGAAAATGAGCGAGGGAGGTATCGGGGGGAGGAGCCGGCGATCCCCGCGCGCGATGTCCATCGGATGGCTCTTGGGGGGGGGGATATTGGAGATGGGGATGCGCGCGATGGAATGCTTGGTACATGCCCTCCAGGCTGAGGGGTCAAGAGCACCTGAAGGTTCTTCTCGAGCCACGGGCAGCTGGATCTTTTTTGCGGGGACCAAACGGAAAGTTCCTCCGGATTACATTCAACACTTCCCCGAAACAACGCGAGGAGACTGCTCGTGTGGCGCTCTGTCGCAACCTGGCCAATGATGTATCAACAACAGAGGAAGCAAACAAGACAACTCCAAACGGTTCCGAAACCACGCGCACGGACAAAAGCGCCGGATATTTGCTACGGTGGTGCCGACAATTCAAAACGTTTTGAGCATTGCTGGATCGTTGTAGAATCTGTCTCCCTCGCCGAAGAGCACACAAGCCGCTGCACCGGCTGATTTGGCTGGCTTGGGTGACTCACCCATGATTACGCCGCCCTTGAGCATCTGAGCCAGGCCGGCCTTGACGCGCATGGTGCCAGTCAGGGCTCCGGTCTCGGACGCCGTGCCAGCGCCGTTTTTCTCTCCATTTGCTTCTCCGGCCATGATGTTGCTTGCTGTCGCAATACAAGGCAAAAGAAAACGAGGGGCGAGATGCATGAATACACTGACAGGCTTTATTCCCACAGGAGCCATAAAAAAAGTAAAACGGCGGTTTGGGCCGGCAGCTGGCGAAAAATATGATCCGAAACAATCGGTCGGGACGCGATTGGCGTTAACAGTGTGTTGGTACAAGGGAGGGAGATAATTTCCACCACGAGGCGTTGAGATATCCCCTCCTTCCGCTCCAACCCAGCACTACCAGCCAAACTGATTATCACGTCCATCGGCGGTGGTGTCTGACGGATAAGGGCGGTAGATATGTCAAGAATCCTGCTGTCGGGAAAGGGCATGGAACAAAATGGGTCGAAAATCACTGCTGTGTCAACGAGTACCATAATTTTCACGAAAATTGGCAAGCACGGTGATACGTCAAAACATGTTTCACGCGAAAGAGACAAGCACCGCGACGCAAAGTGTTTACAACTTTGGGGTAACAATGGTTGACACGGCAGTCTTTTCCACACTTCCGTGAGAAACAACGTAGCGTGAGACGCCAGGATTTCGATTTTTGCCAGCGAGGATTTTATTGCCAGCGAGGATTTTATTGCCAGCGGGGAGGTCGGCATGGATGGGAAAACAGAACAGTTTCCCTTGGTCCACGAAAAGTACAAGAGATTTTGCCGGTACGTTCGCTTGGGGACTTATATCGACGCAAGTAATATGCTAGATATACTTGTACTATAGTAAAGATGGTTGAATATGGGACATTGATCTACGGATATTGCAATTGGTAGATTGCGGAGGGACAGGGAGTTTCTACTTGGTATTCGATGAGTGATCTGAATTGCGTGACGGATGGGTGCTGTGACTTTCTCCTCGGTTCCTCGGACTCTACTGTTCTCTGCTGTCACCCCTTCCTTCTAATACAAGACTTTCTCATCTCTACCCTCACTGGCCGAGCTGCCTTTTTCCACAAACTTACAAGCTCCGGCCTACCCTGTTTACCCAACACGCTAGCGTTGAACGACTTTGTCGAGGGTGATTGGGCAAGATACAGCCAGAGATTGGTCGCACGGATGGGCAGCCGCATGCGCGGCTGACGACACCAAACCAGACTAAGAGGCCACCAACGGCGAGGGCCTGCACGGCAGCAGCACCCCCAAGACCTACAGCAGCGCCATCGTCAGCTGCGCCCCGCCGTCTACTGGGGTTGTGGGCATGAACAGGCACGTGATGACTTGTCAGTTTGGACTGCTGTCGCTATGTGTACACACATGCGGTGTTCGGTACACCCATACACAGTGCCGTCAGATTCTAAACGCGGCATTACGCCGTGCGGTACTGCCGTCAAACGCCAACGCTTACTACACCCTCGCCTCCACCCGGCACTGCCGTCAAACACCTCAAACACAACTCTCTCCTGCTCTTTCTCTAGTATAATCGCGGCAATACGCCGCGCGGTAATGTCGACAAACTCTTGACGCTCACTCCATCAAAACGCGACAACACGTCGTGCGGTACCGCCGTCAAACTCCACCGCTCGGTCAAAGGCCGACTACCTGTAGCAAATGGGTAGACCCAACCTAGGTTACCAGTAATCCTGAAAAAACTGATGCCAGTTTCGAAACTGATGATACGATTTGTGTGTGTAGCATGGTGTTAGAAACAGTTTTGTACTTTGCCTTCCTGACAGCCGTGCTGGGACCAACTTCCTCTCCCCGGCAACAGAGTGATCAACGTTGTATCTAGGCTCTCTTTGGTAGCTACTTTTGAGCAGCAGGTTTAGTTTTATCTGGACTCTCTTTTGGGTAGCAGGTTTAACTTGATCAAAAACGTCCATGTCTTGGTTGTGTCAGCGAGTACCAGAGACGTGTCAAGTCTCAGCGACGTGCAACATTGATTGGTACCTCTACCTTGTTGCAGATTTAATCCGTAATATTGGCGAAATAAATGCTGATTTCTGAAAATATGGTTTACTTGTCTTGAGGTTGCTCTTTGCTGTGAGATTGCGGTTCCAAAGTAGTTAAGGTTTTGACTTAGCATTGATTGCCATATGGTTAGAGCAGGAGCAGCGGCTGTATCATTAGTTTGTGGTGGAGGACTGCTCAACCTCCGTTTCAGGATTATCTTCAGCTATTTATTGAGTGGCAATGTCGCCGTGACCAGTACTTTCAGACAAACCATTCCACAAGTAGAGTCCGACGACTTGAGAGTGTGGTTCGTTTGTTGCTCTTTCTGCTTCAGTTACTTCTGTGTAGAACCGGGGGGAATGTTCGTAGCATGTGGTTCTCAGTAAAAGCTGGCTTGTTCGGAACTAATTTACCGCTATCTTCCCCTCCTAACGCGCGACCTGCCCTACACCACCACCGAGTCAATCCTCCGGAAGCGACAATTGTTCTTCCCCCACTCCAGGCGGACGCAAACATCCAAGCTCGAGTCGCGGCCAGCCGGGAAAGATGAAAGGCGAAAGGCCACCGCGACGAAGGCGTGCGAAATATCCGCTGGGTGGGGGAGAAACAGTGGCTTACCTAGGCAGCGCGTTAAGCGCTGGAGGTTGGTGCGCCGGCACATGTAGGGGTTTCGAGTGTTTTTGTTTTGGTATTGAAATGGAGGATTTTCGAATGTTTTCCTTTTGGTGCATTGGGTTGGATTTTGGCCTTGGAATTGGATTGGTTTCTAGCATTCGGATTTGCGAACGTTGTTTCGGCATTGGATTTTATTTGGCTTTGGTGTTTCGTCGGGATTTCTTTGCAGCAGGATTGTTTTTCTTGGGTTTCGACTGGACGAATATTGAATGTTGTTCTTTTGGTCTGTGGTTCAGATCTCCTACCCCTTCTAAAATCAGGGGGGCGGATCTCCCAGAGCAGGGGGGCACGTTATTCTTTCGGAAGGAGTTTGCTGTAGCTGGCGCTAAGTTTCTAGAGAGAAGCAATGGGAACACAATACTCGCGTTTTTTTCTGCGCAAATGATCTTCACGCTGAACGAATGTTTCGGGATGGATGTTGTTTGATCAGATGTGAGAGTAGAGGATTCATGTCATGCTCAGCTGCGTTTTACCTGCGAGTGGGCATCCGCGAAACATGAAACATATACGAACGTTTTTCCTTTTGCGAAATTTGTGTTGTCTTGGTAGGATTTGCAGACGGATGGATGGATGGAATCGACGCACAACGAAGGCCAATTACTACGAATTGATCCGTGCTTTGGAAAGTAAATGAAGATGAGTTTCCCGGATAGGTTTGATCGGGTTGTTAAATGCTTTGAGTTATGAGGGGGACGTAAGTACTTTGCGGGTGTCGTTGCGGCGAAGTGCTGAGAAAGGATGGACCAGAAGAAGAGCGTTTTGCAGAGAAGGAATGAAGGCGATGAGACAAGGCTTTGTAAGTTCAGGAACATTTGCATAATCGGGTTCTTGAGTAGGATCCTCGTTTTGGGTCGTAAATGGAATAATATTGACTTGCCGTATCATTGCGGTGCATACCAGCAGGTGGGCTGTTAGATATACTCGGTAGCATGGCAAAGATGGTTGAATATGGGACATGGACCTACGGAGATTGCAATTGGTAGATTGCGCAGGAACAGGGAGTTGTGACCTTCTCCTCGGTTCCTCGGACTCTACTGTTCTCTGCTGCCCCCCCTCCCTTCTAATACAAGACTTTCTCATCTCGGTCCTCACTGGCCGAGCTGCCTTTCTCCACAAGCCTACGAGCTTCGGCCTACCCGGTTTACCCAACATCATACGATACTGTTGCGGTTGAAGCAAGGAGACTCAGGAGGCTGTACAGTTTACAGTAAAAAAAAAACGAAATGTTAATATTCCACTCGAAAGAGAACGGAGAAACAACATCGACTAGATAACAAGACTGAGGACGCCTACTTATGCTTCGGACATTGGCCGAGATGACAATAACTATCTGCGCAGACAAACACAAACCGGAAACATTTCAAGCGATAGGGAAAATACTACAGTACTTCAAAATACGAAGCAATTGAAGAAGCCGACCATCTGTCATGACCCCAACATTGACCTTTCGTACCAAGAGGAGACGCACACAAGGCGTGTTTTTTCTCCTCGTTGCTGGCGAGATTATTTGTCCTCCTCTCCCCGTAGCCAATCACTGAAACAGCGTCAGCCCCCCACTCGTGCCCGATTTCTGTCCTTTTGCTCAACAGTTCACTCGCGAAACAACAATTGGCAGCCAACCGGATAAACGGGGACTCTAAAGAGCACGCATCATAGGCTGCCACCTAGCAAAACAGGCGATTACTTGCACGCGCGTGTGGCGGGTGTTGGTGACAACAGACACAGAATGACAAGAAACGGGTGCGAGAGATAAGGTAAGAGAAAAGTGCATACACCATACCTTACCGGCAATGATGCGCGTGGTTTTTCGGATATTTATAATGCATCACGTGGGCGGGATTGAAGATTGTATTGCTCCGGCGGCTACACATGCTGGGCGCGCGGTCGACTGCGCACTTCGTTGCGCAAGTGGTTGAGTGAGGGTCAACTAATTCGCCAAGCGGTTACACACATCGAGAGCGCCCACGTTCTGGTCGCTGTCATAACAAAAACGAAAATGCATTACCACCACTAAGCATAACGCCAAGACCACACTGCTGCTCGGCATTGAGTTTGACTGTGTTTGAACATATTTCTCTGAGCAAGGGTCAAGGGCGAGGATGTTGGCTTACATCTTGCACGCAGGGATGATGATTGCACACAGCTTACGAGCTTGGACTACAGTGAGCGGCTGACAGGCCTATAAACCTCGCTCGCGCGCGGGGATGACTGTAGTAAACGAATGGACTGAGGGGTACAAAGGGTGCTAGCTGGAGATCTAGACAACAGGCAGCCACGCAGCTTGCTGGTGAGCGCGTCACAGGCGGACCGTCCAATACACTTGAAATATTTAAGTGGTTCTTGGCCTGCGAGACGCTACCGTACGTAGTTGGCACAGATGATAAGATACCAAAAAAATGAGGACTGGAACGGCCGACCGTCGAATGCTTCGTCTGTGGTGCGTCCGCAGACAGGAAATCAGTCAGTCTTAATCCAAGCGAACAGAAAATGCTGGCCTGTGACAGGCCTAGGGTTTAGAAAACCACCGGGTAGATGGTGGATGGTTTCTTTTGTGATGCCCGTGTCGGCATCAAAGCCGCTTTACCCTAAATAGCACGATCGAGTGCACCCCGACCTATCGCTGTATAGCACCTTTATCCGCGGCGGTGCACTGACCGGTGGGCTTTGGTTTGCAGCGGTACGGGGCTTTTTTCAGTGTACTCCAAACCGGGGTGCAAGCGGGGTGTACAAAATGCTGCTGTGTCTTCCTGTATCAACCGTTGTGTTGACAAAGTCGTGAGGTCGCCTCCTGCCAATCAACGGCTCCAATGTGAGAGATCTGAGATCTGAGAGCAAAGAAAGGGCGAATCTATGCACAGTAGTGAGGGGATTGGGTGTCAGAAACCAATCGGGTCGAAGCCTCCATCATTGATTGTGCTGTTGCTCCAGGTAGTTGTAGTGTCGGCCATGGGCTCAGCAGTGTTTGCTAAACCCATTGTTCATATTTGCGTTATTTAAGCCCTGTTTTTCTTGCAGACAATTTCTCGACTGGAGGCCCGCATCGGAGTTTCGTGTTTCGTTGCACTTCAGTAGTGGTCTTCGTTTGTCCCACGCACCGAAACGACAGAACTGTTTGAAGTCGCGTCAGACGAGGGAGAACGAAACCAGCAGGGCGCGTGTGGACGTGGTTTTCACATCTGGGCGATTGGTGACATCTGTCGAGCCCGCCAACCGGCATTTACAGCTGCGGAACGCCAGGCAATAAAGAGGGATCAAGCCACAGCAAGAACCCTGCGGTATTAATGGCGGGTTTGCGGTGAAGGCTGTCGCGTTGGCGTAGTTCAAGCGTCTCCGGGCGTTGTGTTGTGCTACTTGTTTGAAGCCAAACTGCAACCACAGAGAGGGACGGACGACGACGCTAGCCTCGATTCCTCCTCCTTGCACCGCCGAGTCGGGTGTCGCACATCTCGCATGCCCTGCCTAGGCTGGAGAAAAACTACAAAGGCTGCTGAGTATCTAACACCTACAGCTTCCAGTTCCACGATACAGAGAGAGGCGCGCCGGGGAAGCAAACATGACCTCCAGCGCCCGGTGCTCGCGCTGCTGCCCAACAGGGGGCTGGTTGCACATGTACGCTTCGAGTGGACCGTCGCCAGAGACAACGCCGTGCTCACCTGTTTCTCTGAGCAGGAGGCGGGAATTCCTTGAGACTTTTGAAGAGCGGGGTGTGTGCGAGGTCGGGAGTGACTGCGTCGGCGGGCGAGAGGCGGTGATGCGGTGAGTGCGGTTGGCTCAGGGTCAACCCCAAAGCGGGCTGTTTCTGGTGGTCGCGCGCGCGCCACCTCAGGAAGAACCCTTGAGAACCTAAGACCTCGAAAACTTAGTGGAACTCCCGGATTCGGGGGGAGGCTCCGCAAAATGAACTTGCCCTGTTGCTGTTGTGCAATGCGTGTTTTCCAGCTGCCAGAGAGCAGGAGCTAAACACACGCGCTACCGCGGACGCAGTCAGCTTGAAGCTCGCTGAGTACTCGTCCACTCTCGATCGGTCACTGGGGTGGGTTCGAAATGGTCAAGAGAAGGCGAAGCAGCGGCTCTCCTGCCTCTGCGGATCCGGGGGCAGCAGAAAACTCGTCAACTTCTTGCAGCCAGTCACCCGACCAGCCACCAGCAACAGCAGTAGAAGAGGCCACGAACGCGAAACACCGACAAGGATGCGAGGACGTAAAGGAGGTGGAGGAGGAGGGACACGATACACCTGCAGGAGCCGGTCAGGAAGGCGGCGAGGCAGGCGAAAAACGAAGGCGAAAACGAACGCGCACCCGGAAAAAGAAGAAGGGCGGCGGCGGTGGTGGTGAAGGTGCCGATGAGGAGGGCGAGGGCGAGGACGCGGCCGCTGGTGGAGGAGGCGGCGGAGTTGTCGGGGGAGGAGGAGGGGGGGGGACGATCGCGGACACTGTTTACGTGAGTTTTTGCAGTGCGTGCCGAGATTGATTTCTGTTCAGGGTGTGTGGTGGGGATCGACCTCGACAGCCAGAAATTCCGATCTCATGGACCAAGCGGCAAAAGACGAGGACACAGAACACTGCCGTATTTCGCGTGGAGGTTGGTTCTCCGCGACGCACGCCCTCTCACTTGCCGCGTGGCTGGCCGATCTTGTACGGCTGCGGTGGCAGCAAGAGTGCGGGGTGTGCGCTTAGGTGGTGATGCGATCAGCGATTAGCGAGAGTACCAATTCACCGAGAGACTGAGTTAGTCCAGGCAGCAGCATCGTGCAGCGGTCTGTTTCTGCAGGAGCGTACGAAAGCACTCCCGTTTGCTTTCTGTAAATGGATAAAAAATGGCACCAGTCATCCTGTACAAACAACGAAGCACCTGTTCATTGGGTACATACCACCAGCAGCGTTTCCAACACAACCGAGACATCCTCTCACAACTACTCCAGTCGCCCCCATCCTGCCACCAACGAACACCCTTTCGCCCCGCCGCCATCTCGCCAACACGCCCCGAACTGACCGCGAAACATGTCAGGTCGAGGGCATCCCTTGGACCTGCGACGAGAGCGACGTCCGCGAGTTCTTCAAGGGCTGCGGCAAGATCACCGACGTGCGGATGCCGAGGTGGCAGGACTCCGGCCGGCCCCGCGGCTACGCGCACGTGGCCTTCGCCGGCTCCAGCGGCGCGCAGGCGGCGTTCGGCCGCGACGGGCAGTACCTCAACGGGCGCTACCTCACGGTGCAGGTGATCAGGGGTGGAATGGGACACACACACGGCCTTAATGTCATTAGCTGGGACCAAGTCGAGGGTTCCCAGTCAATCGCATTTAGAAGTGTTTTGTGTTTTCAACCGCACTGAGACTGACTTCTTTTCATTGGTCAGCCGGTTAGCGCGGCCGATGCCAACAAGAAAGACACACACATGCACACGGCCGAGGCAGAGAGTTGGGTGGTTGTTGCGTTCGGCGGCGGCGGTGAAACGGATCGTGGTTGCTAGGTAGTGCTTTTCGGTTCTAGCGTGGTGTCGCTGATGTTGGGGGACGTTTTTTTCATGGCGGGCTTAGTATTTCACCGGCGTTGGATGATGGTCGTGTCTTGTTGGTTCAGTCACCCCCTTGTACGTCAAACCGAATTTAAGTTTTTTGTTGGTTTTTTGTTTCAGTGGGTGTTGTTTTCTCTCCCAAGGGACAGACAACCAGACGGGCTGCATATTTCACGGCATCGCGAGAATCGTGTAAGAGCGAAATAGGCGGGCCGCCACTGCCATCGTTTGTTCCGCGCACCGAACGATGTAGCTCCCCGCGAGAGCTCCTTTCCGTGAGGGAGTACCCAACTTGAAACAACCACACCGATCAAGCACCAACGACACAGCATTGTATATGAGATGTACGGCACAGCAAATAACGGTAGAAAGCAACGACCACGCCCTGCAGGCACCGCAAGAGCCCGCGACGGAGAAGGCGAGGCGAGCCAACCGCAAGGCGGAGCAGCCGGCGGGGTGCAGGACGGTCTTCGTGAAGAACTTGCCGTACGACGTGGAAGAGGACGCGGTCAGCGAGGCCCTCGCCGGCTGCGGGCGCATCGCCTCCGTGCGCCTGGCCATGTGGAACCACACTCGTAAGCTCAAGGTACGAATGTTTTGAGAGGGGGGGAGGGAGTGTGACGCGAGCCAGAGTTGGATAGGGGGGAGGCCTGCCCAATTTTCAGAACCACTGCGTTGTCCAAATGATTGCGAAAACTGTTGTGCGCCGTTTGATGGAAAGTGCCGAGATTTCGGCAGGCATGTCTTTGAGAGAAACTCGCAGTTCAGTCGACGTACACAGGCGCAGCGGTTCACGCCTGTTTTGTGTGCCATGCCGGGGAGCAACCCATTCGTATGTTTCTTCCGAATCGACAAGAGACATATCCTGCTGTTGCAGCTGATGAGTTATTGTATTGCAAGACCAGCCCTCGTATCTCACGCCCGAGGGGGAACGGCCTCCAGTTATGGTACTCAAGGTGCAACGACCGCCTGTTTCGCGACATGCCCTGCATACGCAGCGACCACAATATCACGTGGCACGGCTGTACCGCTGAACTGGTGAAGTAAATTATATCCTGGGCATTAGCGACCTGCCCTCAACAACAACCATAACGTGACAATGGGGTGTATGCAAGCAGAGCGCCGTCCCCACCGCACCGACCAAAACCCCGCAGCGATGTCTCCGTCGAATTTTCCTTTTGCTCTTGCGAAACGTTCACGCTGCCGACCACGTGGGACATTGCGCGAAAAAAGGGGTTCGGGTACGTCGAGTTTTCGACAGAGAGGGGGGCGGAGACGTGCGTCCGGACGCAGCAGAGCCTGTCCATCGGGGGGCGGCCTCTGGTGGTCGACTTCGAGACGGGCGCGCCCAAGGGGTCCTTCCGGAGGCAGGACGGGGCTCAGATAAAGAAGACCTCGGCCGACGCCGGGGTCGGGAAGGGGAAGGCTCCCAAATTTAAGGTTCACCTTTGAGAGGGAGGGGGCGGGAGGTGAAGAGAGAACCGAAACTCCATCCTTATTGGTCAGTGAAAGGAGAGGAAAAGGCGAGCATTGTGTGTCATGAGTTTGCTGGCAGGTGGGCGTGCGGATGGGGGGGGGGGGGGG